CGAAACGTTAATACCAATTCAAGGTTAAGCAGATGTCGTTTGCAAAAGAAATTCGGATTGAATTCGAGTTTTGGTTCTTTTTTTTACGGAATGGCTCTGCAGGAATTATTTATTGCGTGTGGTGCCGGGGTGGCCGGACCGGTGAGCCGCACCGACGCCTTTAGGTCGGACGACGACGACGCGCCGGGTAACACAGCCGGCCGGGCGGGCGCCACGGTCGGTGCTATGCACTAACACCCCATTTTACTGTTACCATACCAAATAACACAATTACCTTGCATTAACTGATGAATCGATGATAATACGTTGTTAAATTAACACTTTTAGATACTCATTTACAATTCCTATACAAATTATTCGATTTCTTTTAGTAAATATTTGATGTATAGTTAATCTATAAAATATTTGAAATTGGTAACCTGAATGTTTAGAATAGTGATTTGCATTCTAATATCTGCCTTGCCATTGCTTTATACATAATGTTGTAATGTACCTTTAGCAAATAATATAATTGATTTTACCTGAATTGTATTGTACCATGATACACACGGTAATAGTTGCGTTTATTATAAAGTCCATTACAATATTATCTTGTACTAACATTATAATATTGTATTCACGGTTTGAAAGAAAATTTATTTTTGTGACCCGCTTTCTTTGGAATTTTTTATTTAAACAGAGTAGTGTCCCTGTAATTGAAATACAGAGAAATATAAATGAATTCAATTTTTCAATCCGTAAATATCTATCTATATCATTTCCAATTTCTATATCTAAGTAATATGTACCGTAAATGATTATCAATATTGATTTATTAAAAAAGTTACATACGTCACATCGTTTTGAATTTGGAATAATTGTTGAAAATGGAGGGAAAGAGGCGCCACACGCAATGCACCTGAGTCGGCGAGGCGCGACGCCCGCCCCGGGCCCGTCGGAGCCGATGTTTATGTTATAAGGGTGGAAGTGTGACTCATCATTGCAATGTAAGCCTTTTGACAATTGTACTAGACATTTTTATATAACCATCTTAATAAAAGCCAAATAGTTCACTATGATTTCAATTCATTTAATGCAAAGTCAAAGCTTGTTGGGTGTATCATGTAAAAATTAGCGCTATCAGTTATTTATACACTATATTGTAGAGTCTTAAAACAGGAGAGTTAGATCCAAAGACAGACACGACATATCTTATTATTCTTATTTAATGGATGTTTAAAAAAAGCAGGTATGTAACTAGAATTTAATTTATTGGTCACAAAGTAGTTGTTGGCAATTGCATTACTGTTTTATAAAATAGGTAGATAATTTTGTCCCAGAGAATCACATCTTATTTATTATATCGGACATCTAGCTCTAAACTAAGACAACTCAAAAAACTAATGTGGAGGTCTGACAATACATTTTTTTGTTGTTGATTCACTGTTGATTCAACAAAAGAAAGCTAAAGTTATCTAGCGGCTAATTCCCGAACCTTTATTGAACCTGTTGTGTTGAATAGATGCGTGTGATCACCGAGTATTTGAATATTGTACTAAGTCAAAATTCACTCAAATTTTTGAGTTCTCTCAGTTTAGATCTAGGTGTGCGATATGTCAATTAGATACATTAAAGGGCTTATTTTGTTTCGGAAATATATTTTAATAGTTTTAATAGTTGGGATATTCCCGAATGCAATATTGATTTTATCATCAAGTAATGTAGAAATAACTAATTAAATAACATTAGATTAATGATGATTATACAGCCTTCGAAGGAATTGACTTAAAAATGTATTCGATCTAGTCGTGGCGTAGCGAATGCGTGGAGTAATGCGATCTCCTACAACACTGCAGTAATCCAAAATACTTCTCACTAAACCATCGTACAGAGGTAGAGGCAGTGCGTAATTTAGTTTTATAGTTTGGTTCATAGATTTCTAACATTTATAATTATACTACTTCTGGGGCCAGAAGCACGATTTGTAATATTTTCCATATGTGGTTCAATAGTCACTATATTTACTATTTTTATCAAATATCACCACCAAATCATGCACACGGTCCATTTCTTGATATGAAATGGACCTTTATGCATTTGTCGGAATAAATATCTATTCCATTGAAGTTAGATCATCTAACCAGTTTATCAATATTAGGTACTCTGAAGGTTGCCTGGAAGAGATCACTATTACTGACAAGGCCGCCATCTGTACGTATTTTATTAAATAATGTAATTGTATTTTTTTGTATGTACAAATAAACAATATTTAATCTATCTATCCTCCATAGCGTTGATCACTCTTGGTATATAAAGATCTGCATACGTAATGTATAAAAAATCATTCTTCTTGTACGTCGAACTTTGCCTTTAACCATGGATAATATATTAACTAGGTCATGATTTAACCCCATAATTTGTAAAACTACAGTGTAAAACCTAAAGGGCAGAATAGTACCTAAATAAAACAGTAAACAAACTAATGTTTATAACTATGTAAAAATTATAAATAAAGTTGATATGGCTGCCATCTCCCGGTTGATACTGACAGCAATATTATTGTTGTAAACATAAATATGATAATGCGTATTAGTTGTGATGATGGTTAGTCATAGTCGCTTTAAAATAATGATGTTGACCGTGGATGATTTAGTTTATAAATGACTGTACACCGGTAAAGTTGTTTCGCGCGCCTGGCTGTAGGAGCTATGTTGCGGCGCCGTCAGATGGCGCACTCGCTAGCGCAAGTTGGTCTTGGTCGGATATATCTTGATACAATACCATTATTTATTGGTAAGCTACATAATTTTTAATATTAAATAGATTTATTTTCGTAGGAATTGTTAAAGATAAACACTTTATGAGTCCATATTAAATTAACTTACTATGTCTTCTACCTAATTATTTTATGAACAATAGATAAAGTAAAATTCAAAATACATATTCTTAATGCAAAATGTTAAAAAAAAAACACTTCATCCGTGGCACTCTGAGAAGGTCCGGGTGACTGCCCTAACCACTGAGATACCCAGGACCTAACGAGACAGACGAAATTTTCAAGCACTTGTTACTTTTCGCTACTACATAGCGTATTTTTATCAATGTTCAGGCAATCCACCCAAACAGCGGAAAGAAATATTTTCACAAATATTTAAACTTTCGGTAAATATGAAAATTTGTTCTAATTATTATATTTGATCAATTCCCATTCACAAAGCTATATTGAAAAATGCTTAAAAAACCACTTCGTCCCTGGCACTCTGAGATGGGTCTCTGAGATGGTCTGGACCCATGACCTTTCGCAATCCGGGCGACTTCTCTAACCCCTGAGCTACCCAGGACCTAATAGGACTGAAAAGGTTCTTCAAGCACTCGTTACTTTTTCGCTATTGCAGAGCGTATTTTCATCAATCTTCATCAAGTAATTAAATGTCAAATTGAAAGGGACTGCGATAAATTTTAAAATTAGGCAGATTTCATACAAGACATACGACGACGTATTGAAGTTGATTGATATTAAAATTGAGGTTTTTCTAGTGTTGCTATTTATCAGTATTATATAATAAGTTATTACTTAAAGGATAATTAAAACATTACAACCTACTTAAACTTCTATCATAGTTAAATTTAATTATTACAACAACAACAACAAGAATAAACTAAATTTTGATTACATAAATCGAATATAACGTTTTATTGATTCAATCCCTATTAAAAAAACGTTCCAATTTCGTTTCAAGTATGGATGTTTTAAGTTTAGTGGATTGGATTTCAGTAATTATGTATATTCAAAAAATATTTATATTTTAATATACAAATTCAAATAAATATCTAATATATAAACAGTCAAAATATTTTCTATAATTATGGGTTATAATAATTTGGAAATACAAATTGCGTGAAATGGATTTGTTAACAAACATCACCGTCCATACCCACCATACCTACTGTGAAATGGATTTATACAAAATCTTTCATTGGCTCTTTAAAAATTTGATTGTAGCTTTAGGCTCTTTCGTCTTATGGTAACATGCAAAATATTTGTATATTTGTTTTATCTTGTAAGTACTAAAACATTGATTGTAAACACAACTAAAGATAAAATGTAAAATAAAGATTAGCTAGCAAAGGCCCTTAAGTATCATCAATAATAAGTTGCCTATTTATTTGTAGATATTTCCCGTTTATTAACATACATTGTATTTCATTCATGCTTCTCATTATATCTATACATTACGTGCGTGACTCACACTACGAATTCCCGCCTGAAATATTAAATTCGTTCTGAAAGCCTTCTCGGCCTTACTCATCCTTCTGCCTACGCGTTGAAGTACCTACCTATTTCAGTAGTTATTACAGACCTTGATCTGAGTCATATGTTTTATTTTTGGGATATTGAAATCAAAGACAAAATTTTTTTAAACAGTATTTATCATTTAACATAACTATGTTATTAAAATTGCGTTTATTAATTATGTTTATCCAATAATTTAATTATCTTTAAAAATACCTATAGAAAAGAATGAAACAGAATTACCATCAGAATTACTAAAATCGTTTGATTTGATTTGGTTGGCTTCAAAAACATATAGAAAAATATTTCCATCTCTTAGCGTTTTGTTTCACTCACTCGCGCGTAAAAAGTTTTAAATTCATTGCGCGCATGAGCCGTGTGTCCGTATACGTCACTATTCGCAGCGGACCATGTGACACCTCAGTAGCCAATCAGCGTCAGAGTGTTAAGGTGTGATGTTCGTTTTTACGCACACCAAAACGAAATATCATCAGTTTTTTGACATTCACTCGGTAAAGTAGTGCAACTTCGGCTTAATTCTTGATGAAATAGTTGTTATTTTATTATATTACTGTGATTATAGTTTTGTATAATTTCATTAACGATCAAAACAAGTGTACAAACATTATCTTTATTTGCAAAATAACCTGTGTACGATTCTTGGAAGCGCGTTTGCTGCGATCGAGACGAAGGCCTTGATAACTAGTTCCTTGGACGACCGAGAGACAGTTATTATAGGATCGTTCATGCCTCTGGAGGTATGTTATAGTTCACAATTTGTGAGTTGACCGTGTGTGTTGTTGTTTTATAATTCGTATTTGGTATACCATAACAGTGGTGCGGAGTGTGTTGAAAGTTCATTGCGCAAATTTTGGAGCTGGAGAAAGTGCTAATGTGCGAGTTATGACAAAGTTGATAATATGTGCGTTTTGATATTATCGCGTGCGGATGGACCGATTTAAGTGTCCCTGAGAGGTATTCTTTAAAAAGTGCCATGGACGTCGACGGAGGTAAACCGTGTGAAACACTTGCATGTGTCTGCCCTTATTAGTACCGTCTGACAACTTTACACGGGACGCTTCTCTTGCACGTAATTAATATCTTTAATGAACCTCTGGGCTATGGTATTACAGCAGTTCACTCACCGTTTTTAAATGGTATGTTTCCAAGTAGTCCTGTAATAGCTTGCTCTGTGCTAGCCCGCTGAGTTTAGTTCTAAAAATAGTTTAAAACTAGCCACACACTTTCCATAGAAATTAGTGTAATTTGCTTACTGTAGGTATGTAGGTAACTAAAAGTATTTCATTTATTTGGCTGAGATAAAGTAAAATATTGTATAAAACTGTAGTAATGTGTAATTGGAAGTAACAAAGAAGATATAAAACTTTTTAACCTCAACTAAACTTGCAAGGTTATGGACTAAATCAATTTATGTATTGTATCACTAATATACATTAAAACTTGGTACTATTAGAAAAGTAAAGAGGTATTTTATATATGTTATATTTATGGTTTTATTCTTATTTAATGGATGTTTAAAAAAAGCAGGTAACTAGATTTTAATTTATTGGTAACAAAGTAGTTGTTGGCAATTGCACTACTGTTTTCAAACTTCTCGCCTTTAAAATATGCAACACCATATTTTAAGTTAATATTTATTTATAACCAGAGATACAAAAAAGTTATAATTTCACAAAATGCCAAGTTATGGAGTATGTAACTTTATAGATATGATATTATTTGGAAAATATTAAAACTCTTTACTGAAACGACTCAGTGACTCGGTTCAGCAAAATGACCCACTGATACTAATCTCAAAGTTCACTCTGAATGGATCGATCATAGATTATGATCTAAGTGTAGAATGCAAAAACCAATTATTATTGTAATGTTTTAAAATCTGATCTGGTGCTTTTTTCCATGGTTTATGTCCAGTCATATTATGAACCAAAGAGTTTTTATCCATACAGCCAATATCATGTTTACTATTTTTATTAATCATATGATTTCTGTGGTCTGAAAAAAAATACTTCTAAATTTAATATTGCTACGCTATGCTTCATGATCACCTCTAGTATATCACCTATAGGGATTAGCCATGGAGATAATTAAAATTTAACTGATTTTAATTTGAGCTTTAATTTATTTTAAGTGTAATAATAGTTCATTCGCTTTCTTCATAAATGTTCATCAGAATACTACAAAAGATGTATTATGTCTATGTATCCAATCAATTTGAAGCTTTAATTTGTTGAAATTTAAGTTCAAAATTTAGCTTTATGTAGTAACCTAAAGTGCTGATGTGATTAATTCTAGCTAATAAAAAATATTTTAATCATAAATGCGTTTATACAACTGGGTGTAAATATAAGCACACTCAGTGGTATAAACATCCATTAAGGTTTTCTGAGGATTTTATGCTCTAATGAATGTTATAATTTTGAAAATTTGTAAATTCTTGATCTAATGATAATGCATGTTTAGGCAACTGGAGGATAGTACCCTATACTTAATTTTAAATAAAATACACTGGCTATATATAAAAACTCAAATTTTGCATTAAATTTTTGAATGTCAATTAAATTCTCTGGCAAGTCCACAAGGTGTAATTTTTATTAATACTCATCTAGCAGACTTGGGTCTAGACTGTCCTGGGTCTAGTTTAGCACTACCTAGCATAGTTCTTAGGGGAGAAATAATAGATGAGCATTGTGACAAACAATAAATAAATATAGGAACATTATATAAAAGCAAAGTATCTAAGTATTTGTCAAAATCAAGAAAAAAGTAGCTTATACCTCATAGCAGTTTCCTGAAAATCACGCACAATTAATGTTTCATGGAAATGTAGAATATATGACAAAAATAAAAAGACATGGCTGGTTTCTGAATTGAGAAACGCACATAATCCAACTGATTATGTTCAATAACTTAAGTGTTTAAGGTTTCATATAGCAAAAGTCCTAGTTTTGCATTGTACCATAGGAACTGTCAAACAATGGCAATCAAAATATTTAATAAGATTCCACAAAGTATAAGTGAATTACCATATAAACAATTTAAATACAAATTGCATGCATGGCTGGTATCAAAAAACAATTATACTTTAAAGGAATATTTTTGTAGACCTTGACATATTATGACAATTCTTATACTATATAATTTTTTATGTGATGATTTAATTAATGAACTAATGATAATTGTTAATTGACATTTTATTATCTATTTTTTTTTTATTCAAATGTAATTGCAATTTAAAATTCTATGATTAAAAAATTCCTGTATTTAAAAAAAAACTTGCATGTCGGGTATCCGGCGAAATATGTTAACCTATTTATGACAAGTGAACATCCATGTATGTAACCATATTTCAAGCAATAAATATCTTTATCTTTATCTAGTTTCATCAAATTGCTATCAACTGATCATTAAAAAATTATAAATCAGTAATGAAAACCTGTTTAATTGATGTTTAAAATGGCTTAAACACAGTTCGTGATATGCCCAACTTCAAATACTCAATTCAGAAATCAGGTGTAAGAACAATTTTCAAAATCATAGGCGCAGTAGATACTGAGATCAGGGGAGAATGATCAACTACTTAATTTATTTAAAACATAAAAATAATACTTAGTCCTTACAATAAGCTTTTCATTTGATATATTATATTATATTCTTATATAGTTTCCAAAAGAAACCACTGTTTTCAAATTTATTTATATATGTTATACAGCTATTTAAGTCCTACCAATAATATTATCAAATTTCAATATAATAAGTCCAGTTGTTGTAGAGATAATCACTGTGATAGACAGACACAACCAAATGATCAATTTTATAAACATTCTGTTTTTCCTATCTTCATAAGGAACCCTAAAATGGTGTTGATAATGCCTCAGCTTTACAAACTTACATGCTAATAAAGAAAAAATATCCCAACCAGCATCATATCACTAGGGCTACCAAAATTTCTCATCAATTTATCCATAATGCTTTACAAAATTTACACAAAAATAATAGATACCTTATGGGAAAAGATAAAAACCACATAGATATTACTACTATAATTTTAAAAAATCATCTGGTTCTTTATGGCTAAAATACTTTAAGCATGCGATAATATTTTAATGATATCTGTGTAATGATATAATATTTTATTAATAGTATATGGATGAATGATGATTAAATTTTATTACACTAAAAAAAAATAAAAAATTACATTGCTTAAGGTGACTTTATTGCTCAGGTACCAATTTCTACCAGGCAAAATTATAAAAATTGAGAAACCTATGGAAGTTTGAATTCTGTAACCTTTTTTCAATCTTTTCATCTTGTTAACAGTTATGTTAATGAAGAATATTAACAAATACATTAAAAAACAACATAAACAATTAAAAGACAGTAAAATACTTTTACTCAAGTTTTACTATCATAAATAAATAAATGTTAATCAACCACAATAGGGATGATGATTGATGACTGGGTAAAAAAAAAATGCAATTCTATTAAGTCCGTCAGTCACATAATAGAAAAATATTAGATACGTATTTGTTTTTTACTTCAATTTAACAAGAAAGATAACATGCATTAAAGTTGAGGAGTGGGGGCTCGCTACGTCACAGTTGAGTAGAAAACGTACTCTAACGTGACGTCATGCGAAATTTCAACTCAATGTAACGCCGTAATTTTATGATTACGAAAAAAATACGTGTTTAATATTTTTTAACACTCTAGCTGACGGACAAACAAACAAAAGTTAGTCATTATCCCTATTAGCTCAAAAACCAACATCTTATAATTGATCAACTAAATATAGAAAAGACTGGCTCAGATCGTTTAGTTTGACGATCCTGCCTTCATAATATAGCAGTAAGCGGGACTGCAAAATGGCACTGGCTAACGGAATACCAGAACCTCAGCATTGCGGGATTGGAAGCCCTAATTGTAAATCTGCTACATGTAAACGAATGCGCCCGCATGCGCATGTGAGTGACAGACGAATGTTGGGTTGGAATGATCACCAGCCGTTCAGACTACGCATAAATATAAAGAGAAAACGATACGAAATCAGCGGACAAGTCAATGAGACTAACAGTTTTACTAACAATTTATTGTTTTCCATCTTGTATAAAAATATTACGAGTAGAAACTGAATTGTAAAAGTAACCTTTTATCAACTTTGTACATTTGTTTTACCCGGAGAAAACGCGTTACGTACCGACTTGCCGCCTGTGTGGGAGACAAATTTTTCGGTCCACGTGTTAAATTATACTATTAACAAATAAAATTGAATTACTGTACAAAAATGACTATTTTATTTATAATTTAATAAGAAAGATTTTTATCACGTTGGTCTTGTTATTCAAAGAACACATCATCAAGTAGCTATTAAAAGTCTATAATCTCTGCTCTCAGTAAGATAATATTATTAATGTGTCCATTTGAATTCATGTTACATTCTGTAATAATTTATTGCACAAAGCGAATTAGTTATTTTATATACTATAAAATGCTAAATTAAAGTCAAACAAAAAACATTAATTCAACTAAGGGAAGACAATGCCACTTTCAAGAATGCATTCCCATAAATATTATGACTTCAATATTAGTCGACGATGTCGAACCATAAAAATAAATTATGAAAATTTCTCTTTAATAATCAAATTGAATATACTTACCTGATAGTGGAGGCATTACAGAGTAACAATATTCTACGAAAACTAAGTGCAAAAATGTACATCAAATTATAATTTAGAATTTTAATATAATTCTGAATAAAAAGTTTCAACACTTTTATTACAAAAAGTACCCTATGTCCTGTCTCAAGTCAACTAACTTTTTATCTATAATATTATTATGGAATAATTATACGATTTTCCTTGTCGATCATTTCATCATATAATAAGAGATTATCAGACATTAACCCAAGTATAAATAGACTAAAATCACAAATACAAATACAAAAAACATACTTTCTTATAAATTCAGACAGAGCAGGAAATTATTGAAA